AGTTTCCATTAGACTTTTAAAATATCTTGCCTAGTTTAGCAGTATGATTTAAAAGTTATCAGAAACATCCTTTCAATGACTCTTTTTTTTTAAAAATTTATTTGCTTATTTATTTAATTTTGGCTGCACGGGGTTTTAATTGCTATGCTTTCTCTGGTTCTGGTGGCTTCTCGTTGCAGAGCACAGGTTCTAGGTGTGTGGGCTGAGTAGTTGGGGCACATGGGCTTAGTTGGTCTATCTCATGTGGAATCTTCTTGAACCAGGAATCAAACCTATGACCCTGCATTAGTAAGCGGATTCTTATTTGCTGGACAGGCAGTGAAGTCCTCTGTGACTCTTTTTGAAGATATGGCAGTTTTGCAAAGCATCAGCTTAGCTGCTTATGGATGATAAAAGTCTTAAAAAGGCAAAGGTTAAGATCTGATTACAATTCTTCTTGGCAAAGAAGATTATCCAAGTTGTGACATGCGACATTTTAAGATAATAGCTAAAATTATAACATTATACCAGGACATATACAAATTTCAGGAACTTTAAACAATTTCTAGTGTATATATTAATAACATTTATTCATATTGTATAGTTTGAGGAGGCTTATCATTCATTTGACAATGCTTTCTGTGCAACTTAACATACCAAGAAATTATAGTCAATTTTNAAGGAGATCCAACCAGTACATCCTCAAGGAAATCAGTCGTGAATATTCATCGGAAGGACTGATGCTGAAGCTAAAAACGCCAATACTTTGGCCACCTGATTTGAAGAACTGACTCACTTGAAAAGATCCTGATGCTGGGAAAGACTGAAGGCAGGAAGAGAAGGGGACGACAGATGAGATGGTTGGATGGCATCACTGACTTGATGGACATGAGTTTGAGTAAGCTCCGAGAGTTGGTGATGGACAGGGAAGCCTGGCGTGCTGCAGTCCATGGGGTTGCAAAGAGTCGGACATGACTAAGCAACTGAACTGAGCTGAACATCTCAGTAGGGAGTGAGCATCTGGGCTGGCAGCAACTGCACCCAGGGCCTCGGTAACGCTTCAGGCTGAGTGTTGGCCTGGGGAGTTCAACAGCCAGCACTGTGGTCCCAACTCCACTGCTGATCAGTCCTGGGGAGACTTGCTCAGCTCTCTGGGACTTGGTTTTCTCCTTTGAAACAAGTGATGGCGACTGGATGCTAGATAGCAGGAGCAACTGGGGTGGGACTGGCCGAGCATTCAGCAAGGGCTTGGAGCACAGAATGCAGAGTGGGCAGGGAAGCTGTGGTTCTGGGGAGGCCCCCACCAGTTATAGGTCTCCTCTACTCAGCAGTAGTCCCCAGCACACAGCCCAGTTCCACTGGCAAATCACACTCCCAAAACCAGTTCAAGTGGAGCAACATTGTCAGTGGTGGTGACAGAGCTGGTTACTCGGGGTGCACCAGGCCAGACCTCTCGCACGGATGAGGCTCCTTGAAGACCAAGAGGGAGGAGACCTTCCCACCCCACCTTCCTGACATTTCTACCCCTGCACCTACTTACTGATTGGGGAAGGGTAATATTATTTGTTGTAAATAGTATGTACTAGGTTTGAATATTATATTAACATCCTGTTTATTTCACAGCCTGGAGTTGTGATTTGGTTCTTTCACCATTCTGCACCCACTGAAATGATGTGCAGACTTTGACATTCTTCTTTTAATTAAGAACTCTTGCAGGTTCATCAGCTTGTTGTGGGTGAAGGGAGAAGGGCCAGCTCTCTGGCTGATGAAGGAAGCCCCAAGTCTCCCTCCTCAGAGGGTGGGTTCATTTCATGTTATTCAGCTGGGCCAAGAGCAGAGGCTGCCCCTCAAACTTTCACAGATTGCACAAGAACCCCTGAAATGTTTGTGTGTTTAAATAACACCTCCTGGGTCCGGGTTCTGCACCTGGACAGTGGCCGCCACCTGACAGCTCTGTGGGAAGAGGAGACACTTCCTGCTTCTCTTGTGGAGGTTTCTTTTGATCAAATATGAGGAATTTATAGTTTTCTGGTTTAATATCTTGAATTGCATTAGCTCTAAGTGAGGTAAACATGCAAAGAAATCAAGATATTCAAGTAGATAGGATGAGGCCAGAGGAAGGTCATTTGTAGAAAAACTAAGGGCAGTAGAACTCTCCATCCTCTGGCCCTTCTAGGCCTAGATTTGAGTCCTCCTGAGATCCTGTCCATGACCTCAGAATTCCTTTTCCCGATGATTTTCTCTTCAGGGGTAAAGATTTGTGATGCAGCTTTTGAGGCTACAGCTGGACCTCGTTACATAAACATCACAGTTCCCCGTGACCTGGGATTTCCAGCATCCTCATACTTCTGTTCTACAATCCCCTTTAGGGCAGAAATTCCCTGAAGGTTTGCCAGCCGATCAGCTATGTCATGTCATGGTCACTTCTCCCTGGCTGGTCCTGGTGGCTCCTGTTGAGCTCTGCTTCATACCGATAACTGACTGAAATCCTGGCCAGTGTACGACCCCATACTTTCCTTGCTGTCCAGTGGGCCTTCTGGGACCCTGTGGTTCTGAGACCTATGATCTGGGACAATCGCTACTTTACATACTTAGTCATGTTGTTGCTAACTGGTCCTAATGGGGAAGCTGGGCCCAAGTCCATGAGCTTATAGCATCCCCCCTGCACCCCCATCCCTGGGATGACTGTGTGCTTTTCCACAGTCTTGTGCTGTGGTTATGTCAGGGTGGTGTGGACCTTTCTTATTGGATCTTTGAAAGAGGAGGCATGAGAGGGAAGCATGTGAAGTTCCAACAGGGGAAACGCCACCAAACTGAGGATATGCATAGACACAGCACTGATGATTAAAAATACAGAATGCTTCCAATATGGGTGGTAAACAACACTGCTCCAAGCTTACCTGAATACCCACCCCATGAGATGATACCCACCCCATCTAGCATTTTGAGCACCATTTCCTGGAAACATCCTGTACGAGCAAGGGCCAGATGTAGGAGGCTCAGCCACAACGCCTGGGTCTGTTACCTAGAAGAGATCTCCCCGAGGCCCCTTTACTCCCATCCAGGGTTCGAAGGGCTTGGCTGGAACAGAAAAAAGCAGAGGAGTTGGACACAGTTTCTTGGTCCTTCTTGACCTGGCTCCTGTCTAGTTCACAGGGATCCATATAAACATTATACCCTCCATTAAATCCTCAAGGAAACTGTGACCTGGGTCTTGTGGATTCATGCCATGTCATCCCTCAGGGATATCAGGATTGGTGAAACAGGCACAGACACGGCCTCAAATGAAATTGAAATGTGACCTCAAGGCAGGATCATCTCCCCTCCCAGGAATCCTTGGAGCACACGTGTCCCTGGACGCTATGCCAGCTGTGACCTGCATCACTGTTTCTCCATACTTCCACCCCAAAGCCCCAACAGTCTCAAGCTGCCTAAGAGAGATTCCAGATCCATCTGCTTTGATGCCTCCTCTCCCCTCCTGAGCCCTTCAAGATGGGAAACAGGACAAGACAGGAGGAACGAGTCATGAATATGGAGGCAGTCACACTACTTATTGGGACTTGAAACCGGAATGACTAGGTCTCTGGGAAGCATGAGTCCTGGGGTAACACCAAGGCTATAAAAACAGCGTCTGTTTTGGATGTAAAGATGAATAAACTCAGGGAGGAAAATCTGAGGGAAAAACAAAGCAGTCTTTCTTCATTTCTTCCACACAGAACCCATTTTAGACAGTTAAAGCAGAGGCTCCTCTACAAGTAGTACAAGCATGCCAGACAAAAGGCAAGCTGTACTGTTTTGCCTTGAGTTTACTGGAAGAGACGGTACTATCTCTACACCTTGTGCAGACAACCAAAGCTGAAGATGCCCAAGGACTAACAATTAAAATTACACTAATGTCACCCATTCTGACTTTTTAGGCATGAGCTTCTGCTGCTCATTCTTAAGCAGTCATTCTCTGAAGATGGCAACAATGATGATAACAGCTCTCATTGCTGACGCTTGGTACCTGCTGAGTAGCATGATGGGCAAACTCCGCCTGCATCATTTCAGTTATGCTCATCACCCCATGAGGTTTTATTTCCATTTTATAGCTAGAGATATGGAAGGAGATATTAATTTGATGAGGAAGGAAAAAAATTACTTAGAACATGAATTAAACACTCAGGCAAATGGTCAGAGAAAGAAATAAGGCATTTTCCAACATACTGGCAGACCCAAAGTTGATCTCCCTAGGGCCACCTGTGAAAGAACCAGTAAAGAATGTACATCATGATGATGAAATGTGAACCCCCAAAACATAAAAGAGTCATGAGGAAGAGAAAAAAAAAATTAGTGTATCTAAATCATTACTGGTTTTAAGATCACCAGCCCAGGTTGGGTGCATGAGACAAGTGCTCGGGCCTGGTGCACTGGGAAGACCCAGAGGGATCGGGTGGAGAGGGAGGTGGGAGGGGGGACCGGGATGGGGAATACATGTAAATCCATGGCTAATTCATTTCAATGTATGACAAAAACTACTGTAATGATGTAAAGTAATTAGCCTCCAACTAATAAAAATAAATGAAAAAAAATAAATCATTACTGGTTTTAAAATAGGGCATTCTAACCAAAATTCCAGATGATTGCCACATGACAGAGAAGATTCAATTTAAAAATGTCTAATTTTTAGGGAAGATATAAATACAGATACTCTATTTTTTTTAAAAAAAAATCTCTCTCTCAGAAATTGATAAATCCACCAGGAAAAAGTAAGTAATGATGAAAAGAATTTGAATAGTACAGCACATGTGGTCAGGCAAATAGACATATATATATAAACAAGTCCAGGCTTATTAGATTAATGATGTTGAAAACAGTCCTTCTTGATAGCATCATTCTCCCAAATAACATGTCAATTTTCACGAATAAAATTTCAAACACAAGTAGATCTAGAAAACAAGGGAAAGTCTGGTATTTCATTATGTGCACTTCTGAATTCATATGCAACAAAACTCAGAAAAATAGAAAGATATCTTATTTGAGAATATAGATGTAAAATTCTTTTAATGAGGTGTTGTTTGGGAATCTATTGGGAAATATTACAAACACACACAAAAAATGTAATTCAGACTAGGGAGTTTGTAACTGTGAGAGCAAAACCTTGAGTAGTCTCAGGACTTTGATAACTGTTAACTTTAAAATACAAATAACATACATAGTAATTAAAAATGAGAGAACTCAATTTCCCATCTCAAAAGGAAATCCCTGTCTATATTTTCTGTCACACAGAATTTACAATGAAGGAAAGTATTAGTATATATTAAGTTTCAAGAACTCAAAGCAAGAACACTGCAAAGAGGTGTTAATAAAGTGTTGTGTGAAATTTCATGTGCATCATCTTCTCTTCTTCTTCACAGCATTGGCCCAGGGCATCCTTCTTGGTCCCACACTTTCTCTGCCTCACCAGCCAGTCTGTCGGCAACCAGTGCTATTGCCAGTCTCTCTCTTGCTGTCTTCACTCTCCTTTCCTGATTCCTGATATCCTCCTCAGTTACCAGACACTGTTTGCAGAGGAGCTGTGGGGTGCTGGAACCAGCTCCTGGAATGGTCTGCGACAAATCTGAAGACCAGCCAGGGGCGGCCATGGGGTTGGAGTTTGGACCACCTGCATGTACCCGTGGAAGGGACTCACCTGGGCAACTTGGTGCAATTTTCCGCAAGACTCTGGCTAGATCCAGAGGACTTAACAGTCCTCCTGTACTGCTGCAAGCCTGGAGTCCTTGCAGTCTCTTCTGCCAGTACAGCTGCTGGGGGTTGTCCAATGTTTCCTCCCAGGGATAACATCTGACCTCATTGCTGGGATGGGCTGTGATTCTAGTCACTGGTCTCTTGAATATGTAACTGGACATCCTCAAAGGGATTGAGATGTTTAAACCAGGCTTTGGTTTGGATAGTTTTCCACAGTCACAATGCTTCCTCTGTGAAGTCTTCACCATCATACTTCTTGTCCTGTACCCTATGAAAATAAACCATGAAATTGGATCCAAATGATAAATGAAATCTGCCTTCTTGGACCATTATTTTGGCTCTTTTGTACTCTCAGCCTCTCTTTGTCCCTCCAGGGTTAGATTGAACATCATCAAGCAGATGTGAGTCAAGAAGAGATAGCTCAAGGTCAAAACTCAGGGTTACCCCAGCTCATTCTTCCTTCACCAGTTTGTAACACCCCTTCCTTTATGAGTATGGCTATATTCTTTTTTGTCCTCATCACTCTCAACTGCACAAGTTCGGATAGCTTATGTCACATGGTCTTCTGTCTTTTTCTAAATCCCAAATGCTTCAGTGTCATGTGACTTCATGTGGTTAACCCACATGACACTTGTTCATAGCTGCTTTAGAGCTTACGAATATAGTGACATTAACAACTGTCCCACCCTTAGCAACTCACCCATATCCCTGATGTTTACATCCAGGAAATTGGTCATGTTCTAAATAAATACATCAGAAGACTTACTAACTCACTACTAATTTCTGGTCTATGATTTTTTCCAAGACTCCTACAACAGATACCTGCTCCTCAAGATCCTGTTATACCAGATCACCATATCTTCATCTTAATTTCTTGCCTTCTAGTCATATCAATCCTGGGTTCTATGGACTATGATCTCAGTAATTCTCTTGGAATAATCCAAAATTCTTTACTGCTCATCACATCTATCTTGAAAAAAAAAAAAAAAAACAACTTCAAACCTAGTACTTGACTGCCTTACATACCATAACTACTGCTGGTCTTATGGTAACTGCTAAGAAAAGTACACAACATGGTATTTTATTACCACTGCAAGTCCAAAATCGTCTGCATACACTGGAAAGCATTCATAATGCCTAGAAATTTCATTTTCTTTTTATGTGTTGGCATATTTACTTTTGGATTTTCCCCAAAGTCTGTTTCAGGTTTTCTCCACTTTCCTTTCTCCTTCACACACATCCCATGTCCCTTAACTTGCCTGATATTTCACAAAGAAGCTGCTAACTACTACAATGAAATTTTACCGTGGTAGTTCCCAAATCTGCAAATATCTCTAAGATTCCATTGTTTTCAAAGTTCCTTTAATTATATTTAAAGAAGCATCTTTTATCTTCCAATGCTGATCCTCATTTCTTCTTCCTTCTCAGTAAGTTCACGATCCCAATATATCCCTCTTTACTTTCAGCCTCTCCTTTTCCACCGAATCCTTCCTTCAGCATTTAAGTACCTACAAATCTCTCTAAACTACACAGAAAGCCTTCACTTAGTCTCCCCAGGAACTTCCGGAACCAGTCTTTCTACTACTGCCCCTTAGTCATGAACCATTGAGAAGGGTGATCTACATCACGTGTCTCTCACCTCCAACCAGCTCCTCAGACCTCCTCACACTACCGTCTGACTTCACCATTCTATGGGGGCTTCCCTTGGTCAGGTCACAATGACCACTTTGTTACCAGGACAAGCATGGAGCTTTTCATTATTCATCCAACGTGGTCCTTAAGTGCAAAATGTTTAAGTATCTTTGGAACAATTTAAACACGTGAATCTCATTTTATAGCTGTGAACCTTACAGTATCTAAATACGGAATAGGTATGTTGGATAAATGATGTCTCACAAATTGGAATTGTGCTGCAAGTGACAAGCACAAAATAAATTTCAGGAACTCAATACTGAAAAAGTAAAATATGTCATTACTAATTTTTACATTGATTATATTCACAAATGAAAATATCTTTAGCTGTAATGGGTTAAAATATACAGTTGAAATAATTTCACTTGTTTGTTTTTACTTGTTAAGATGTGGCTACTAAAAATAAAAAGTGCTTAAAGCTATTGTTGGACAGTGCTGGTTCAAGCCATGAGAGAAAATAAAGTCCACAGAAAGAGCTCAGCAAAGCTCTTTCCATGGGACAGAGTCTATCTACCTCAACCTCACCCCAACCCAAGATGTAGCAGACTCTCTTATACACACACACACACACTTTCTAAACCAAACATTATTCCCATCACTATGTCTCAAATGCCTTGAGGCTGCACCCCTACAGTCTTAACCAGAATAATCTCAAGAAAGAAGTCAGAAGTCAAGATAGTTTACCAATTATGATGAGTCAAAACCAGAGACTAAGGATAATTTTAGGGGGAATTTCCTGCTCATTGACTTCTGCTATTAATTCAATACACTTGAGAAACTTTTGAAGGAGGGTCATTTTAAAAAATCACTTCATCTTTACTATGTAAAACATACAAGATATGTAAAGAATAATAACTGTAGCCAATAAATGAAATCGGGATGATAGGATACAAACATCATTATTAGTGAATCAGTCAGAGGACAGATAGTGTTAATTTGGGGCTTCATTAGGTTGATTCTGATTGGATGACCAGCACATTGACTGTATTATGCTGGCCTTCCTCCTAGTTAACCACCAAGCCCACCAACCAGACTAGTCCTTTCTGACAAATCCCCTGGCTCCACCCCTCTGATAGCACCTGGAGAATTTTCCCAACGTCATTCTCTGTCACTTCTCTCCTCTCCTTCTTGCCACAGGCCAGGGAAACATTTTCTCCATGGCTCATCCTCTGTGTCTGCCCAGTTGTCACTCAGGTAAAAGAGAGGACCAGGGTGCAGACTCTGTGAGCTGCAGGAAATAGGACAAAGACTGGGGTATGCTCACAGAAGAGGAGAAAATCTTTAGTGTGCTGGGTACTAGGGTCCAGGAAGCCCCAGTGAGTCCTGAACAGAATTGAAGAAGATGGTGCAGGACAGAGCAGAAGTGTTTGGGTGGGAGGGATTCTTTTTTTTTTTTTTTAATATTTAAAAAATTTATTTATTTTTTTGTTTAGGTCGTGCTGGATTTCGTTGCTGTGCACGTTTTCTCTAGTTGTGGGAGGCGGAGGCCACTCTCTAGTTGCAGTGTGCACGCTTCTTATTATGTGGCTTCTCTTGTTGAGGAGTATGATCCCTAGACACCAGAGATTCAGTAGTTGCAGCATGTGGCCCTAGAGCATGAGCTCAGAAGTTGCAGTACACAGGCTTAGTTGCCCCGAGGCCTGAGGAATCTTCCTGCACCAGGGATCAAACCCTGCATTGGCAGGTGGATTCTTATCCACTGCACCACCAAGAAAGTCCTGCTTTAATCATTTTTAAGTGTACTGTTCAGTGGTATTCGGCATACTCATATTGTTTTGCAACCTTGATGACCACCGTCTCCAGAACTCTTTTCATCTTGCAGAACTGAAATGTTGTCCTCATTAAACACTCAATCTCGATTCCCCCTCCCCCAGCCCCTGGCACCCACCATTCTACCATTTCTCTAGGAGTTTCACTCCTCTAGGGAACCTCATGTAAGTGGAATCATATAGTATTTATACTTTCATGTCTGACTTATTTCACTGAGCATAATGTCTTCAAGTTCATCCATATTTTAATGTATGTCAAAAATTCCTTCCTCTTTAAGGCTGAAAAATATTCTGGCAGCAGGTAGTTGGTGTAGGGAGAGGAAAGTGGCTGGCAGCTCCCTCCCTCCCTCTCTTCACCTCCCCCAGTCTGAGCCTCTCTCCCCTAGGGGCGGCTGATTCCCAGCATTCAAGGACCATAGTGGTCTTGGAACCAGGAACAGCCCTCTAGCTGCACCCGGGAGATGAAGTCCTTCTCATGGTCCCGTTGGGGCCAACAGCTCTCACTCTAAAAGAAGAAACCTTCTTTTAAGACAACTTTTAAGAAAGTTTCTTTTAAGAAACTCTTTTAAGACATATGTACACAGATAATTCAGAAAAAGATGAAAGTTGAATTTTCAAAGTCAAAAGGAATCATTCAAAGTTCTGAGTCTATAGCCTTCCAAGCAGTTGGCGAAATGGACCCTGTGGAGTCCTATACCAAGGTCACAGGTGTGGAGGCCTGTACCAAGCTCACAGGACAAAATTATCCAGAACTGACCAAGTCCCATAGCCACTGTTGCCATGAGCTCCCCTAACCTAAACTGACCTTCTTCGACTCCATATTAGGTGAAATATCCACCCTGTAGCATCCCGAGCAATCACCTAATACTACACTTCTGGCAGGAATTTTCTTTGTCTTGAAGCTATAAAAATTGGCTACTAGCCCACAAGAGGGTTCGGCTCTCCTTGAGCCAGCCTGTTGTTCTAACAGCATTTTTTGCTCTAACAGATTCTATTTTCCTCTCATTCTTCCTCATATATGCTGTGCCTCTCATTATCTCTGCCCTTTGTTCTTAATAAACTCACTCCCTTCTGAAATACTCCATGTCTGGAAATTCTTTTCCAATCCATACATAGACATGAACAGGCCCTAAGATTCTCCTCCTAGACCCTGCTGTTCTGTCCGAGTAGGTGGTGTTTCCTTCCTCCTTTTGTCTTCCAGGCCTTGGGCTGTGGCAAGGGTCTGTCCTTGGCTCATTGATTCTGTCCATCCCCTAGAAGAGGCTCAGATGACCCAGAAAACCACCTCCAGTCCCACCCAGGGAGTCCCCTCCCTACCTGAGAAAATCCCAGGAAGACTGACTTATGGCTACAAACCATGAAAAGCCCCTTCTCCCCCCAGATCTGGGATCTGACGTGGCTTATCACATGTGTGTTGAGAGGCCAATGAGACATAAGATACTCCATGCCTTCACCGTATCAGTCATTCAAGTACCCATCATGTTACCTGGTGCCTGCTACATTCAGCCAGGCACTAGTCTCCACCCTCCAGAGCATGCAGACAGTGTTAGATAATGGTAAACACATATTGTAACATATAGTTACAGAGTTTGAGATGTACCAGGTGTTCCAAGCATTTTTCAGACGTTCACTCTTTAACACTCTCCCTAACATTGCAGGAGGTAGAGTTAGTATTGCCAAGTATCCAAGAGAAAAACTGAGGCATAAACAATATTGCTCCCAAACCTTGTATCTTCAGGCAACACATGCTCAACACCTCATTGTTTCCGTGACTCAGGAATCTGGATGCAGCTTAGCTGGGTGCTTCTGACTGACCTGCACTGCCTCTAGGCTGGGACAGCCATGTCATCCGAGTCTCTTCTGGGGGGATTTGCTCCCCAGTTCACTCACATGGGTGTTGTCAGGATTCTGTTTGAACTGAGAGCCTAGTTCCTATCTGTCTGTTGGACGCAACTCTCCCTCGACTTTCCCCGATGGGGCCTCCATACATACATATACAGGGCAGCTCAAAACATCTGTGGTTGCTCTCCCATTTCCAGAAAAAGACCGAGTGAGAGAGAGAGAGAGAGAGAGAGAGAGACAGAGAAGGAGAGAGGAACAGAGGAACAGAGGGAGAAAGGGAGAACTCGAGAGCAAGTAAGAGGGGAGTGGCAGAGTTTTTATTGCCACAGGTGTGACATCCTATCACCTGGGCTGCATTCTTTTGCTCACACGAGGATGTCAGTGTCACATAGGGATGTACACACCTGGAGGCAGCTGTCACTGAGAGTCCTTGTGGAGCCTGCCCAGCACATGGACCAAGTGGCACAGGACCTGAATCTAAGCAGGGAGGGTTGGAAAGTTTATGCCAGGGGATGACAATATCTGAATCTCCTCTGATTTCTACTCTTTAAAGGTGCAGACCTGAAAATGAGACCAGTGGGCAATGACTTTTCCAAGATCGCTTGGCTGGAACCCAGACCTGCTTCGAGAAGTATTCCCTGCGG